GCTCTACAAATCACTACAGATGCCTCTCTACTCGGCTGGGGCGCCCACCTTCGGGAGCTCCGTGCGCAGGGTCTAGGGATGTCCCAGGAATCGCTTCAGCATATAAATTTTCTCGAACTAAGAGCAGTCTTCAAGGCTTGCAAGCACTTTCTGCCCATCATCCGAGGACATTCCATACAGATTCTCACCGACAACATATGCACGGTGTATTATATCAACAAGCAGGGGGGGTCACGCTCCCGCTCCCTATGTGCGGAGGCTGTGCGCCTGTGGAATTGGGCTATTCAACAAGGTATCACCATAACTGCAGCATACCTCCCTGGCAAGGACAATGTTATTGCCGATACTCTGAGCAGGCATTTCCTCTCACAGCACGAGTGGGAATTGCATCCCGAAGTGCTCCGCGACATCTTTTTGCAATGGGGTTTTTCCAAAGTGGACTTATTCTTTTGCACTTAACATTTAATTTTATCTGCCATTTTGTTGTTCACCAAGTTTTGTGAAATCCTTTCGTAACTCTTCATAGTCAACTTTGGACTTCACTGTCTTGAATAATTTAACATCAGCAGCAAACTTTGCCACCTCACTGTGTATTCCCTTTTCCAGATCATATACGAATACATTGAATAGCACAATTCTCTGTACAGAGCCTTGAGGGACCCTGCTATTTACCTCTTTCTATTATGACAGTCTCATCATGTAGGAGTAACACACTTTCCATTCCACTGATATCTCTGGAGGATGTTAAACAAAAGGCAGGGTTACTGACCTATAGTTCACAGGTTCATTCAGCTATGTGGTCCCTATCTGTGTATTACACCCAGGTATGCATACATTCCATAAGCAGAAGGCCAGATATTTGTAGCCAGCAGCGTGTGTTAGTTCACACATGCACAATGGTTCTCCTCATGCTCTAACCCAAATGCATAAATGAAGGTGTGGACTGACACCTCTCCAGTTCCTTCTCTTACTGCAAATCAAACCAAGTCTTCAGCAGAGGAGGAGGAGAAGAGCAGGGAATGGCATACAGATAGGTAGAGCTCTGGGCAGATAGAAATGTCTTATCTGCGTGTATCCTCATTTGCGGGCAGACAGACATTGGGATCTGCAGAGCTCTACTCCAAGAGCCACCATGGCCAATAGAGAGGAACATGGTCCCGATTCCATCTAGGAGCCAACGCCATGCACCAGAAGCTCATCAAGACAGCGTGGTGGCACTATCCCTGGGCACAGTGTCTCCTGTACTGAAGAGACTAGACTCAAAGGGTAAGTCTTCAAAGCTATTC